AAATTACAATTTCCAAACTATCATATTACATTCATGCGAAACCAGGGAAGTTTATAATTGGACATTGCTAGTAAAATATGTTTTTTTTTTTTTTAAAAAAAAAATCGTAACTACATAATTCTTCAAGTTTCTTTTATTTTCTCGAAAAGTTGGATCTCTTTTTTGATGGGTCTCTCAAATGATCTGGTGGGTTGGTTGAACTGTCGGAAGTTGGAATCAAGCTTCATTTTCTTTTTCTTTATAATCCTTTATTTTTATATTATTTATGTCTTCCAATCCTATAATTCGTATTACCATTTTTTTAGAAATATTATTACCAACATTTCAAGAAAGACGCGTATTAGTTTTATATACACCAGGAACTAAAAAAAAAAAACTAATATTACGATATTGTTTTGACGGAATTTATTTACGCGTATTGCCTAGAAATAAGGCATTTAATTCTTAACAATGTAGAGTTTATTTACGTGTGTTGCCTATAAATAAGGCGTTTAATTCTTAACAATGTAGAGTTTAAAAACTATGATAATGTGGACAAGGACACTATGGTATGGTGAGCTACCGTATTTAACGAATTTAAAAGTTTCAATATAATTTTTCGTTTCCAATTCTATCTTAGATGAATTTATTTTACATACATATATGTATATATATATATATTGCTTATAAACACTACTAAAATAAGAGTCCTTGAGATATTTATTACATGCCAAAAGGGTCACATCACATAAACCATACCATATTCAAGTATGCTTTCAGTCATAAAATTTGGTTTAGCCATATTGCCTAGATGTCTGTAAATTGTAAAAATATTCAGAGAATATAATTGAGATTGAGAGGTCATAATATGATCCATAATTAGTACTGTCATAAACAACCTTTTTCTTAAACCAAACGAATAAAAGGAAAAATAAACAAATAAAACAAGAGAAAAATATTCACAAGCCATGTGCTAAAGAAGATACTAACACGCAATTAAAGGAAAAAATAACACTAATATTGGAGTACGCTAATCTGTGTTTTCCTGTCATTATATGCCATGTCTATATTGTTATTACTAGTATTTTATTACTAATGAAAAGGTATTACTTTAATACATATTAATTTGCATCAAATGGCTAGTACTCAATAATTTCTATAGATTATCAAAATTCCACAAAGTTTTAAGAGTATTTTTAATTATGATTAGTTTGGTTTCCAAGAGTTCACAAGAAGTTAAATTCGGTCGAGGCACTTTGTAGTGTCATTTTGCACATTTAAATTATTAGAAATTGCACAAATCACAAAGGTTTGAGATTTCCATGAATCTTCATTTATTTGCTCCTTTTCTAATGACATTTTAATGCAAAATAGCAAGAATTATTTATAGGAGACTGGAATTCTATTTATTTTATCATCATTTTTGCTTCCAAATTTGTCCTCATTGGGAGGATTTTGTGGGAAAGCACACTCGAATAATCAAATTACAAGAGACTGTCTTGTCTTGTAATTGCCCTTTTATCAAATAGTGTAAATCTCGAAGCTTTGATAATAAAAAAAAAACATATTGCAAGGCACATGAATTATATAGTAAAGACAATTCTGATATTGCACATTTTTAAACTTGAGATAATTAAATAATGTGTAACTAACATGGTAGTAGATGAATATTGATTATTTGAGACAAGATACACTCATTGTTAATATCTCATGTTTTCTTTTTCCTTCTTTTTTCCCCTTGTACCTGCATCAGCCAAGCCAAGAGAAATGTAATTTTGACTTATTATGTTCAATTGAGAAAGTACATAATACGTAATAAATATAAGTAGGTAAATATTGATGACTCAGAAAAGACGCATTTATTGTGTGTATGACATTTTTTTCCACGTTTTACCCAAAAAAAAAATGAGTACGGTATATATTTTTTTCAAATTATAAACAGCAAGAAATGTTGTAATTTTGACTTATTTTGTTGGACGGAGAGTGACCGTCAATTTTTAGGTGGTTGAAACTGAGGTTGGTTTAATATGAGAATTCTAGAATTAAAATTTATGATTATGGTTTAATTTTTTGTTTATTTGTAAAATCTAAAAATAGTTTTTGAAAAAAAATAGTTCTTAAAAATTAGTATTTGGTTTTGATAGTTCTGGTTCAATGTTTGAAGTCTAATTTGATGTTTTAAACCAGAACCACCTTAAAAAATAAGGATTTGTTTGGTATGAGGGTTCAAACTAAGGTAATTTTAGGGTTCGTTTGGTATGAGGGTTCAAACCAAGGTGATTATAGTTTTTATTTTAGAACCATAACTATTATTCTTGATTTTAGGTCTAAATTATGGTTTTGAAACCATACTCAAAAACAAGGGTTTGAACCACCCAAAACCATGAGGGTTTAGAATCATGGGTGATTCGTGGTTTAAAATATCAAATCAGGGTTTAAACATTGAATCAGAACCATCATAACTAAACACTCATTTTGGGTGAGTCAAATCAGAACCGTTTTTTACTTTTTGTAAACAAACATTGGTTCTGAACCATAATTATAGTTCCGGGTTCAGAACCCTTACACCAAGCAACACCTAAAACCACCTTCCCCCTTGCTTTTTGATGGTTCAAACATCTGGTTCTGATTTCAGTTTCATAATTATGGGTTGGACCCCAAATTCAAACAATAAATTATGATTATAGTTCTAAAATTTAGACAACCATAATTTAAACCCTCATACCAAACGCAAGTTGAGTTGTCCAAAAAATATGGCTCTGATCCCTGTGAGTTTAAAGATTTTCAAATTAAGAAACTCTTAGAGTTGTATAACGACAACAATAGCTCTAGTAAAGTAGTAAGATCATGGAAAATAAATTACATGTGATTTTCTATTTTTAGCGTTAAATTTATATTAAAAATGATCCATTTTACACATTTTTTAATTTAATTTAATTAATTCGAATTATGGGTGATTCATGGTTTAAAACATCAAATCAAGGTTCAAACATTGAATCAGAACCATCATAACCAAACACTGATTTTAGGTGAGTCAAATCAGAACTGCTTTTTACTTTTTATAAACAAACACTGATTTTGAACCAGAATTATGGTTCCGGATTCAGAACCCTTACACCAAACAACACCTAAAACCACCATCCTCCTTAATTTTGGATGGTTTAAACCTCTGGTTCTGATTTAAGTTTCAGAACTATGGTTTGAACCCCAAGTTCAAATAATAAATTATGGTTATAGTTCTAAAATTAAAACCACCATGATTTAAAGCATTATACTAAAAGCAAGTTGAGTTGTCCCATAAATATGACTATGATCTCTGTGAGTTTGAAGATTTTCAAATTAAGAAACTTTTAGAGTTGTATAATGACAACGGTAGTTCTAATAAAGTAGTAAGATCATAAAAAATAAATTACATGTAATTTTTTATTTTTAGTCATTAAATTTATATTAAAAACGATCAATTTTATAACTTTTTTTAATTTAATTTAATTATAATTAAATTTAACAATCAAAAATTAATATTATCAATAAGACTCTTTGAAAAAAACTCCCCATAGGCCAAGCCAATAATACCCCACAGCCACACGCAGGCAGACACGGCCTCTACTTTTGGGGTGGCCCCCACATCACATTGCATTTGCCTACTTCTTCTCCATTTCTCCAAACTCCCTCCCCAGTCTTCCCTACCATGATCATGATCATGATCATGATCATCACAGCTATACCCAAGCCAAGCGAAGGAGATCACAGCCTCCTCCTAGCCATAGATTTATGTACTTCTTAAAAAGAAAAAAACGTTTTACAAGTAATTTTGTTCCTGATTTGTGAATTGACATTTCATTCTTGATTTTTATGACAATTTAGTTATTGATTTGTTGAAGCAATAGAAATGAACTCTAATTGTTACAAGAGGTTAATAACACGTTTGAAACTCGTTCTAAAATAATTTTATTTTTTATATATAAATGAAAATAAAAACATTTTCAATATAAGACAGAAATTATTTTTAAAAATGCGTTTGATGGTTTTATCAAGAGATTATTTTCAATGTAAAAAAACTATTAATGTCTCTCTTTTTTCTTCTCTGCTCGGGAGAGGAGAAAATGAAAACAAATAATGAAAAAAAACTAAAAGTCGTTTTTTATTTCTCTATCATTTTACATTAAACTAAAAAATTATTTTTATTTCCGTTTTTTGTCTTTATTGCGCAAAACGCCGTTTTGGAAACGTTTTTATTTATTTTTTGTTAAAAAAGTGAAAAATAAAAACGGGATCAATTCTAAAGACGGCTTAAATTTCTCAAAACTTGAATGGAGATTAATTTTCAAAGAGTTCTGAGACTAATTTAAGATTAAATTGCCCAAAAAAAGTGTTTTGAGGGACATAAGTGATAAATTAAAGATCATAATTACCCATTAAAAAAACAATATAATTACTATTTACCGGGCCAAGTTAACAAAGCCCACTGCCCTTAAATACCTAGGCCCAAGCCAAGGAATAGCTTCCTGATCAGCTTCTTTTGGAAGAGTTTGAGTTTTTAATTTTAAGTTTTTACAGTAAAAAATTCTCAGAATATGTTACATTTAATTTTTTTTATTACAATAAAAAGTTCTCAAAAAATGTCACATCTCAACTCGAATTGAAAATTCGAATCCGTAAAGTGAACTAGGCTTAAATTTTCACATTTACTGCGTCCAAAATATGAAAAATTTTGAATTATTGAGAAATACTAGTAATTTTCGTAGCTTACAGTTATTATTTTTTAAAATCTGATCTTAATCTGGCATGTTATAACGTTAAAAAAACTAAAAAGGCAATTTGGGCCCTATTCGCACGTGCAGAGTCCGGAGGAGGTGAGCTGTAAGAAGAGAGAGAGGGGGAGGGAGAGAGAGAGGGATCAGGACGTCAGGTGGCCCAAAGCACCTTTGAACCCCACACGTGTTTCAAGTTCACACGTGCATCACACTCTCCCTCTTAATTCCCATAAAAACCTCCCTCCCTCATTCCTCATTCCCCGGTCACCCACCCCTTCTCTTCCATTTCCTCAACAATATCACCTCCACACAACACTCTTCCCTTTCTCTCTCTTCTGTGACCCATCTCCCTCTCTCTCTCTCTCTCCTCCCATGGACCTCCGCCGTCGGCCCTCCAAACTTCAATCTCGGAAACCGTCGCCGGCGCCGCCTAAAGCCTCCGACGCACTCCCTCTGCCCCTGTACCTGACGAACGCCGTCTTCTTCACGCTTTTCTTCTCCGTCGCGTACTACCTCCTCCACCGATGGCGCGACAAGATCCGTAACTCCACTCCTCTCCACGTCGTCACCTTCCCCGAGATCGCCGCCATCGTCTCCCTCATCGCCTCCTTCATCTACCTCCTCGGCTTCTTTGGCATCGACTTCGTCCAGTCCTTCATCATCTCCCCACGCGCCTCCTACGACGAGGAGGACGACGACCTCCACGTCGTCGTCCGCGACAATGCCTGCCGTCCGCCGCCCCTGGTGGTCCCCACATTGGCCTCCGAAGAAGACGAGGAGATCATCAAATCGGTGGTGGATGGGACTATACCTTCGTACTCGCTCGAATCGAGGCTGGGGGACTGCAAGCGAGCGGCGGCGATCCGGCGCGAGGCGCTCCAGAGGATGACGGGGAGGTCGATTGAGGGATTGCCGATTGAAGGATTCGATTACGAATCGATCCTAGGGCAGTGCTGCGAAATGCCGGTCGGATACGTGCAGATTCCGGTGGGGATCGCGGGGCCGCTGCTTCTGGACGGGTTCGAGTACTCGGTTCCGATGGCGACGACGGAAGGGTGCTTGGTGGCGAGCGCAAACAGAGGGTGTAAGGCTATATATATGTCCGGCGGAGCCACCAGCGTGCTGCTGAGGGACGGCATGACCAGAGCTCCCGTCGTTAGGTTCGACTCCGCCAAGAGAGCTTCCGAGCTAAAGTTCTTCGTGGAGGACCCTGTCAACTTCGATACTCTCGCCGTTATCTTCAATAGGTCCGTTTGTTTTTTCTTCTTCTTCCTCTTCCTTAACTGTAATTTTTGTCCATTTTGGGTACTTTTCTTTATTAGCCTCGGCTTCTTTACTATGTTGTCTCTTGTGATTTCACCATCTTGGGGTTTCGATTAATTGTTTGCTAAATTAAATTGTTTTAATTGCTGAAAAATTTAGAAAGGGAGTGAATCAAGGGTTCCAAAAGGGGAAAAAATAATAACAAGAAAAAAATATTAAAAGGTCGAGTCTTTAATCTGTATTTGTTTCAGATAAAACTCAGATTTATTACACTTGCTTTCTTGAAAATTCATTTTAGCTTGGAAAGTAACTGGTTTAGGTGTTTTGTCTTTTGGGGTTTTGAATGGATTTATGGGTTCCAGGTCTAGTAGATTCGCGAGGCTGCAAGGTATTCAGTGCGCGATTGCTGGGAAGAATGTGTACATGAGATTTAGCTGCAGCACAGGCGATGCCATGGGGATGAACATGGTTTCCAAAGGGGTCCAGAATGTCCTTGATTATCTGCAAAACGATTTTCCTGACATGGATATCATTGGCATCTCTGGTAAGTCCCTCCTTCTACATCTCCATCGTTTTAGTTCGTGTTTGTTTTTTCTGGTTTACCCTTTTGAAATTTTGGTTTCTGTACCTGGATGTTTTGATTTAAAGAGAGTGTTACTTCTCTTCAATTTTGTTATGCCCTCCCTTTATTAAGTTTCTGCTTGTCTTCCCCTCAATATTGGACGTCGTTTTCGGTGGTCAGTGATTTTAATGTTATTAAGCTTTACAAGGCATACTTGTCAACTAGTCATGGTTGACAGTGCTAGCCCCAACCCAGAAATTTATGAAATAGAAAAAAACAAATTCAAGTGTGGTACACATTTAGGACATTCAACGTCACTGTTCTTATCTTTTTTCTCTTCCGTCCTTTTTTATTTATTTATTTATTTAATTCAACGTGAATTGTGAGGTAAGGAGAAACTCTTCATTTGATGATGTTTTACCAGTTATGCTTGTAATGGTAATTTTATTTCTCTCTCTTTATATGTTTGTATGTATTCAAGTCATCTTTGTTTTCTTGTATATTTTATTCCAATTTATTCAGAGTCGTAAATTGGGAAATATTTTTTCGTTGGTTTCATGGACGTTTGCTCGTCACTTGATAATGATAGGGAACTTTTGTTCGGACAAGAAACCGGCTGCTGTAAACTGGATTGAAGGACGTGGCAAATCAGTTGTTTGCGAGGCAGTGATCAAGGAAGAGGTGGTGAAGAAGGTTCTGAAAACCAATGTAGATGCTCTGGTAGAGCTTAACATGCTCAAGAACCTTGCAGGTTCTGCCGTTGCAGGTGCTCTTGGTGGATACAATGCCCACGCCAGCAATATTGTGTCTGCAGTGTTTATAGCCACCGGCCAAGACCCAGCACAAAACATTGAGAGTTCTCACTGCATTACAATGATGGAAGCAGTCAACAACGGCAAGGATCTTCACATCTCCGTGACAATGCCTTCGATTGAGGTAACCTAGAGAATTGTGCTCTTTTTGGCTTTTTTGGTAGGATACGAGGGAGAGGTAGATAATTTAGTCGAGGAAATGAAACTAATTATTATGTTTCTCATTTGGCAGAGAAATACAGGAGAAATTACCCATTTTTAAGTAGTTTGGTTCCTTCGATAATTAGAGATAGTAATCAAGTTATTTGATACCAAAATCTAATTATATAGATGGGAATCCTTCTAAATTGGGAGGGCTCAAACTTTATGTTCTTTCTAAGACTTTTGAATTCCTTGTCCAATTTATTTCCCACTGTAATGCAGCCATAGGTCCTAAAACACTTTTTACTAATCCTTACATTCCTATGTTTTCTTTCCATTTTTCTCCCCTACCAAAAAAGGCTTTAGAGCGTGTCCAGTTGGAACAGTTGTCGTTAGAGTTTCTGTTTCTGTTTTTCAGGTGGGTACGGTTGGAGGTGGGACTCAACTAGCGTCTCAATCCGCCTGCTTGAATTTGCTTGGAGTAAAGGGTGCAAACAAAGAGTCGGCAGGATCAAACGCTAGGCTTCTGGCCACCATCGTAGCCGGTTCGGTGTTGGCGGGAGAGCTATCTTTGATGTCTGCCATTGCCGCTGGTCAACTCGTGAAGAGTCACATGAAATACAATAGATCCAGCAAAGATGTGACAAAAGTTACATCCTAAAAAAAGAAGGGGAAGATACATGGTCCCGACGATGAATCGGACAAACTATATAAAAAAAGGAAACATGAATGTGAGAGAGAAGGAGAAAAATGAAAAAAAGAGTCCAGGCTGTTGGGTGCACATGGGAAATTGTTGGATTCCATAGCTGGTAGTGGGTTTTGGGGTTTTTTTTTTTCGATGGAGTTAAGAGGTAGAAAGATCCATTACATGGCTGGTTGTACAGGTCTTGCTTATTCTCTCTATTTCCCTCTTTCTTCTTCTTCTCTCTCTCTTCTGTCTGTGGGACAGCATAACCGGGAAGGCAATGAGCAGAGAGCGTCCCCATGCTCATGTCGCCATCTTGATATATATATATATATATTTTTTTTTTTTTTTCTTGTTTCATTTTCTGAGGAAGGAAGAAAAAGAAAAAGAAAAAAAAAGAGAATTGTCTGTCTTGTGTTGATTGTTGGGAGGTGTTTGTATTGTGTTTTTGTACTGTTTTAGGGACCAGATGACTTCATAGTGAGGGTCCAAAGTCCAATTGGGTTCCATGTCTTTCCTATTGTCACTTTGTACACAATGACCTTAGAGGCCTTAGATCTTTTGAATTCTAAATGAAAATCATATTGCTTCTAGGCTCTAGCTGATTACTCCAATGTCATTTACACACGCGGGCGCGCGCGCCCACACACACACACACACACACACACACACACACACACACACACATATATATTTTTTATTTTCAATCACATATAATTTTTTTATTACAATAAAAAATTCTGACATAAAGTCGCATCTCAATTCAAATTAAAAACTCGAATCAACAAACTAAACAGACTTTAAGTTTTATTTTCAATCTCACTTTAGTCTCTATTTTTTGGAATGGCTCACTTTTAATCCAAAAATGACATAAAATCATAAATTAAAGATAAAAAGTGAGACCAAATGGAATTTAGAATAAAACATGAGGACTAATGGAATTTAGAATAAAATATAAAGACTATTTGTGTGATTAACTCTTAAATTTATATAATAATTTTATTTTTTTTATTAAGCATGTAGATGAAAAAATATATAATTTTTTTTTTCAAAGAATAATTTTTAATTGATTTATTTTTTTGATCAATAATTGATTTAATTTTAATGAAATGAAAAATATAAGATGTGCAGTCTAAGTTATAAAGTATAGATAAATAGATCAAGTGAATAAAAATATAAACAACATTTTTAATAACAACTTTTTTGTTGTTGTAATTTTACGAAATCCTAGTCGTTTATGTTCATTATTAATTGAAGCAACGTTTTTTTTTTAATATTTTAATGAATCGCAAGCAACGTTGGGGATATATTGATAAAAAAGATTGTTTTTGACACCCCACTCAAAAATTAAATAATTATTATTCAATTAATAAAAAAATAAAAGAGTATAATAGTACCTCATTTTTTAAAATAATATATATATATATATATATATATCTGCACAAAACCATAAAAAATCACATACTTTTCTTAAAAAGAAAAAATGGTGAAAGGAGGTCACAACAAAACTTGGGATTGTCAAATGGCAATGGGTCAACTGCGTTAATGATCCTCGTATGGAAATCGTGGGCATGACAAATGATTGGGCCTAAAATCTTAGTAGGCCTCATATGTCTCTAAGTTACTGGGGCTCTGCTTTATTCCAGCAAAAGAAAAAGAAAAAAGTTATTGGGCTCTGAACCCTGGGCTGCTGGGCAGAAAACGAAAGGCCCGGAGTTGGAGTTGGAATCCCAATTGTAAGATAGAAGGAAAATACCTAAACGAGCCGGTTAACATTCACCATCACCGGAGAAGAGAAGAGCAACGAGAGAATCAGGATCAGAAATCAATCAAAGGGGTAATACTAATCGGCTTCAATGGCGAGCAGTTGGGAGAGAACATTGGAAAGCTTGAGGTTTAACGGTTTGAGATCAGTCTGTACTGTCTCTTGCTGGGTCCTCACTGGATCTTTGGCTTACTTTCTCTGGGTCAAGCCCAGGCAAGACCAACCGGTATCTCTCTCTCTCTCTCTCCTCTCTTTTTCCCTCTAATTCTGCAAAAATTTGTGTTTTTCGTGTTTTCTAATTTCATGGCGCGATGCAGAAAGGGGCTGCTCTCGCTGCTTTTAATGCTCTGGAGTCAGATCCTCATCGTTATTTGCCCAAGATGAAACCCATTCCTGATCCTAATATTTACTCTCTCTGGCTCAAGGCTAATCAAGAGCGACAGGTTTCTCTCCCTCTCTCTCTCTCTCTCTCTCTCTCTCTCTAAGTTTGCAAAATTCTTTTCATTTTCTGAATTAATTTTATGTCGATGCAGGAAAGAGCTTTGCAATCGGATTAGTGGAACAAATAATCAGCTAGTTTGCTATGAAGCTTATGAAATTGTAAGTCCAACTAATTTCTTAATTGTTTTCAATTTCATTTTTTTTTTTTTTGGTCTATAGGGAAAGTTAGAAGCTTATAGAGCATGGTATGCCCTTTTATTATGATTTATATCATTATTTTGATTGATGCATCAGTTATGATTGCTTCATTACGAGACTTCTACGTTTCCATTTCTAGGGACATTGTAGCATTGACCACCGAAAACCTGAGTAACAAAAGTTTTAACATCAGGAATAATAGGCCCTTCAACTACTTAGGAAACATTCTGCTGCCAGAGCTTTTACCACATTCTTGACATCCGGTTCAATAATTGAATACCTAAAAGCCACAGACTATGGAAAATTCAACGCCCTTTCGAAGAGCTAAAACTCTTCAATAAATGGGATAGTATTATAATATTTATGCCATAATATGATTTTACGTAGTGAATGCTTGAAATTTTTTTTTTTTTGATGAAAAACCTCATTGAGGAAATTTTATTAAAAGTGAAAGAAAAAATACATCAGAAACAGAGAGGCTAAGAATACAACAACGAAAGGAAAAAAAAACATCAAGCTCCGAACCTATATCTTGTAAAACCAGAAGCATTCAAACTCTCTAAAAACAAAACTTGGGACATTATGCTACCATGTGTAACAACCAGAAACTACACCAAAACTAGCCAAACAATGATCAACAGTATTAGCCTCTCTAAAAGAATGAGAAATAACAAAATCCATAGAGTTAGCCTTATCCATCCAAGCATTCCGAAGAGACCACGGAACTGTGGAACTAGTACTCCGAAAAAGATGAACTGCACAAATAGAATCACTTTCTAACCAAATGCGCCTCCACCCTTTACTCTAAGCCAACCTAATGGCCATAATAATTGTTCACATCTTAGCTTTACATAAAATAAGATTTTATGTAGTGAATGCTTGATCGACATTTACGTTCTCTTATAAAATAAGATTTCTGTTTAGTGCATACCAGGAATACTTTTGTAGACTGCACCGCCGTAGTCTCACATACATTGATGTACAATGACTATAATGGTTTATATATATATATATATATATATATTCTAATTGTTAGGTGTTTGATGTTTATCTAATATTAGTTGGATCATCCTTATTTGCATTTCGTTGGCTATGTAGTTTTAATTTATTGTTTTTGCTTCAATATATAAACTTTATATTTTATTGGTGTGTGTGGTGTGAGTGATGTACGTGTGAGTGTCGCTGAGTGAGTGTGTGATGGTTTTTGTTAATAAGAGAAGAACTTTGGGACTTGGTTAAATCTGCATATCAAATTAGAAAGAAATATCTTACTTTTGATATTGGGATTGTTTTTCATAATTAATTGTAATGAGATTCAAATGTATTGTTTGGTTTTGAAATCCCTAATGGGATTGTGATTCGTGAGGTTAATAATATGGGTCCACATTACATGTTTATAACCATTGGACTTGCCCACCCACACATCCATTTTGATTTCTGCAAATCTCATCATATTTTCCCTCTCATTTTCTACATATTCTCCCATCCCTTCTCTCCATCAACACAGTTCCCAAATCTTCTCATGTTTTGGTCTAGGATAATTGCACATGCATTTGGCCCCTAGTGGTACTACCTTGGGTCTGGTAATTAGAACTTATTCAAAAAACCACGAGCTACCCCAATAGTACATTACACCGAGCGCTGACATGACACTAAGCACTCTCAAGGACTTACTATAAATTTTAAATGAAAAAAGGAAGATGCAAATATGTGCATTGTGGTTTACATATTGAACTTGTAACTCATTCAAGAAGCTTTTCCTTAAAACATTTTTCAGGTCATGAGTAGTTGGCCAGCGAGCCGCAGTGGGGCAATGTGGCAGTCTACTGATCAAAGTGATTGAATAAATAGTTTTTGAATTCGAGCGTTTGTTAACTTGTTATTTAAACTTTAATGTTTCCGTTGAAACATAGCTCTTTGGTGAATAAGAAAGAGGAAAATTGTTGCTTGAGATCTCAAACCCTGTTAAAAGGTAAGTGCAAAGTGTTCTTTGAATTACTACTACTGTGGTCTCTTGCCGATGTAAAATGACGTGTGTTATGAGATTGCTTGATATTGATGTGCTGTACCAGCTAACTAGTAGTAATTTTGGGTTGTTTTTCAAAATCGGCAGAATTTGGACGATCGACTGATCCGAAACCAACTGTGTGTGTGGCAGAGGGTTGTAGTATTATAGTTACGAACAAATCAGGTCTGCCTCCATATTAATCTTTGGAGAATTCTAGTATCAAAGAAAAGTAGAAAACATTTTGTTTTGTTTTGCTTTTTTAACTCTGTTAGATTTGTATTATAAACTGTCAACTTTTTATATACTTTTTCAATGTGATTTTGACAAAGTTGATATCATTTTGACTGGTGTTTCTACCGGTCGTGTTAAAATATAATAAAATATTTAGAACATTTTACAAATAGCCGGCTTTAAAATTATTAAAACAATTATTACTAAATTTTGTTGTACGAAACATTCAAATATCATTTAATAATTACTAATTATTACGTAATTTTGTTATTCTTAAAATACAAAAAATGGTTATGTTTCAATTCCATTCTCTCAATTTTGCAATGTCTTGTGATTTTTTCTTTTCTTTCTTTCTTATTTTATTTTATCTTATTTTTTGAAACTTGGATATGGAGTTAATTTGGTGAGGTGTGGTACGTGCTCTATGGGCTCCACAAATCTGTACAGTGGTTCGTCGGCACGTTGAAGTGTCATGGGCCATTTCAAGTTGGGCCTGAAGCCGTGGAATGCCTTGTGTAAGGGCCGTTTCTTCCTGTATTTAAACTCAAATAATTAATTCGCTTTGTTTTTCTCTAAAAAGTTTGAATTCTTTAAAAAAAAATTTTAAATTTTTTTAAACGTCAAAAGCAATAATATAATTTGAATATGCCTAGATGTAGAGGTGGCAATTTATATCACGTGTCGTGT